TAATCGCCATGAGACGCACCTTGAACACTCAACGTTTGAGTAATCGCTAAAAGTGTTTCGTTTATTGTTAATCTTGCGTTTCGTTGACCAGGACCATTTTACAATAATATCCTCAAATGTTTGTACGAATTTTTCAATTGATACTTGCTGCTGTAGCTTATCAACTATTGAATAAGACTCTAGTCTTTGTTTCTTTTGTTTCTTTTCAAGGCTCATTAGCTAAGCGCGTAAGTGTGGAATTTTGGTTATTATACCTTACACCAATCATGGTGCAAAAGTAATTTAAGTTTGTGCGCATGTATGCAACACCCAGACGGGCTTGAGAGGTATATTGTCCGTGTGTCCTTTCGTTTGTCCGTCTGGCTTGTTTGTGTCCAACCTATAGGTCGTAATTTTCGAAAAATCTTGACGAAAATTACCCCGACTTGTTTTAGTCCAAGGGTAAGCACTATTGAAAGTTGTTTAGATCAGATCAGTTTTATCTACCACTTCAGAGTAATTGCAACGTGACATAGGATACTTGATAGTGAGCCGTGACCCGTGACCCGATAAGGTGTTTTTACTTGGTAGTCTTAATAGTTAGGAGCAATATTCGCCAATTGCTAAATTGACTCAAAATCGTCTGGAGCAATATAATAACCATATGTATTATAAGTAAGGGTGCACGTGGACCAAGCTTTCACTGCACACCACTTCAATTCTGTAGATAAAAATTGCAAAATTTTAAACTGTGAGCGTTTAGTTAATTAATTAATATTTATTTTTTGCATTGTGCTCTTAATTAGTAATAAGTTCTTTCTTCTGAAGTGTGCTTTTGAAATTTTTTTTTTTTTTGTTAATGTTTTTTTGGTTTCAATTTTGCAGAGTTTATAAATAATTCCGTAGGTAGATCACAACCAATTTTCCAAACACGAAGTGTAAAATTGAATTGAAGACGTATGGCGCAAATTTCTATCTTGTCTTTTCCAAATTTTTCAAGACTTAAATGTTTCAATAATCGAAGGACCGATAGAGTGACGTTCGAAATGTCGCTCGCCTTATGTCAAACGTGTGGCAAAATTAATATATGCTTTGGGTATGATGAGCGTAAAAATTAATTCCACACGTAACAACATAATAAAAAAATTATTTTTATAAAAGAGCAATATTTAGCTATATGTCTTCTTCACTTCCTCAATTAAATTTTAAAAAATCTTTTACGCTGCAAGAAAGCATAAGGTACCTCCATGTCTGACTGCACATGTATTTATTTATACATATATATATATATACATACAAAGAAAAAAAACAAGATCAAACAACAGCAGATGAAACGAAAATTTTGTAACAAATATCGTGCCAAGTAAAAAAATAAAATTAAAACTTAAATAAATATCGGTTTGTAATAGATGCCAAGAATTTTTTCTATTTTTATACGCAACACCGAGCAAAGTTGTGTATGCTCATTTTATCATTGTGTTTGCACAATCTTTACATGCTCAACATAAATATCTCATTTGATGCAGTGAGGCTTGTCTACCTGTTCGACCTGTTCAACGGCCACAAATTTTATAAAAGAGATCAGCTTCTAACGTACTACACACATACATATTCTGAACTGCATCAAGAAAGAAAGCCATGGAAAGCAAACGAGAATTTTAATATACCTTCATCAGCGTAATTAACTCGAAATTCTTCTAAATGTTATTTTTATGTATAAGCTGTGCAGCGAAAGTCAAATGCAAAATAATTAGCCTTTATGTCTCGAAACGGTTCACTCTTCAATGTTGAGGTTACACACGATCGTTCTCTTCGCTAGCAGAAGTCGCTTAAAATGATCAAGATGAAGCCATTTTAAAAGCGGATATGTCCGCAGAAAAATTTCTTATGACGAATTCTTCATACCGTTTCGTTTAAGGCATTTTGCCTAAAGTCTTTGGACTTGCAGCACAAAATCACGTTCTCACGTGCCTTCTTCAAGTAAAGTTGAACATTTGAACTTTAGCTAAACTTGCTCCCTTTGAAAATCTGTTGGAACTTTGTCCCGACCATGCATAAACATAGCTTGGAAAAGTTACCTTCATTGGCCCAGAAAAGCTCATAATTCTTGTACATTTTCTAAAGATGATGAGTATCCATGATGCGGCTAAAAATGCATATGGATTTCTTGCTTTCGCTCTCTTCCCTCCTATTTGCTCTTTTCTTATATTTATCAGACTTAATATTTATTTTTAAAACACATTATCTCTACTTCTACGAGACTGCAAAATAAAATTAAAGTAAATAAATAAATGAAATTAAAAAGAAAAAAATCTGAAAGAAATGTAAATAAAATTTTTTTGCTAAGTATAAAAAATGTTTAATTGCAAATAAAACTAAGTCGTATATAGAAGCGTAAGAAAAACTTTAAAATACATTCATTTTCATATGTCATTCATTAATAATTTTTTCTCTTTTTTATTTTAATTTTAGGTAAGTTCAGAATTTCTTTGGAAATCGAGAAGCATGGAATTGATGACAAGTAAGAATTTAAAAAGGAATGTCTATCATATTAATAAAGCTCGAGTTAATGTGAATCTTTCTTTCATTTTCAACATTTTTAATAGCCTTCCACACCCTAAATTACTCAAATTTTCAATCATTTGCTTATGTATATGCATATGTATGATTTTTTTCCTTATTTTTGCTTTTAATTTATGAAAAATTTCATTTCATTAAGTTCTTAATGGGTGGTCTTTATTATTCATATAAATATGCATCTGGATATAAGTATATATATATATATATATATGTATATATATATTTATATACAGTAAGACAAATTGATATTTATTTTCATTATATACAATTCTTTTTTATACTTTTCAATTTGCTTTCAATCAATTAACAAAGCGGAGATTGTGTTCGGCTTGAGTCGAATCTTTTAATAGCTGCATATACATTCTGATCCATGTTAATATCTATACCGTATACTATCAGTGATACAAGAGTATATTAAGTATGCTATGTACCCCGCAAGAACCTGAGATAGACTCATTTTTTATTATATTAAAAAGTTCCTCTGTCCGTATGTCCGTCCTGTCTGTGTTCAACTAACAGGACCCCATTTTTGAGATGTTTCGATGAATTTGGGTACCCTGGCGTGCTTTGGCCCAAGGACGAACCTTATTGAAAATGTTGTGGATGGGACCACTTCGACCACTTGCTATGTAGCGTCTTACTTTGAAAAGTCGATATATGCATAATTGCAGGGAGGTGTGGCGTATTTAATGGTTGGCCCTGGTCCACGATATGTTTTCTTTTCCGTTAAGCGTAAATTCTTATATTAAATCATTAAATATGTTTATCGTTGTGCTTTTCTTTTCTTTTGTATAATGCAAAGGAAGACTTAGATTTAATCGTTCCGCGTCCATAAATAATAAAGCAATTTAGATTTCTTTCGTTTGTACTGTCGTCAAAAGAACAGTTTATTTTAAGAAGGTTTAACGTCACTTTCTCAGTACATTCATATGCTCTCAAAGAATGAAATTTCTTAAACATACCTGAACAATTGATCCTTTTATTCCCCCAATAAAGGCAACCCTACTACGAGAACGGAAAAGTAACATACCTTCCCTAATAGTTTTTCCGGAAAACTTTCCTCTCTTTTCACTAATGTTTCGTGTAGTGTACAATTGAAACGGATAATTTGATATAATTGCATTGTAATTAATTCAAATGCATTGTAAATTGCCGAAATAATAAAACCAATATCCATAAATTGGGAACCCGGATTAAAAGTTCAGAGAAAATTATCCTCATACCGATAAAATATGCAATTCATTCATTGGAGCGTGAATTGTGTAAACAATAAAAGCAGTAATAAGATATCTAGACTGTTTTTTTTTTTTTTTTTTATCGCACATGAAATGACAAACTTATTATATCATGAGATTTAACGAGATTGATATACAAATTACATAAGAAAAAAATGCAATCGTTTTTAATTTCATTTCGTAAGTGAACACAATGTACTTAAATGAATACAATTTTGTTCATTTATAAAGCTCATGACATAATTATATCGAAAACATTTTTATTCTTTATGACTAATAAAGCAAAATCATTAAAATTTTTATATATATTTTCAATTAATAGCGCATTTTATTACATTGAAAATTTTCCATAAATCGTTTTTAGTTTATATTCAACTAGAAAATGAAAACGGTTTTGCTTATATATGAAACTGTGCTAACGTAATACAAGTGAAACCGTTTGAAGCTATTTAAGTCCTGTGATAATTGCCAAAAGATAATGTAAAGGAAAAATTTCGCAAATACAGTAAGACAATCGATTGATTACATAAATGTTTTAAGCACCAGCTAGTTATGGAACTTTTTTACTTACGAAAACCAATCAACATTTTATATATGTCAGATTTATTGCATACCCTTTCCTAAGCCTTCTTAAGCTACTAAGTAGGCTGATGGGGCAGAAAACACATTGCTATGTGCTATGGGCGTATATTTCGGTAAACTGTTCGCAACACCTAGAAGAGGGCTATAGAGACCCTGCAACGTATATACATATCTTTCATCAGCATCAAATTCTGAATCTTGTTAAGCATGTCCGCCTGTCTGTCTGTCTTTGTAATGCTTGCGGTAAACAATCTGCAAAACCATAGGAATCTGTTACTCGCCAGTTGTTACAGAAAGTAACAAGGACCACATGCTCTATTTTAATAATTGGTTGTAAAAGTTTCGACTCCAGCGGAATATAATTTTGTTACTTGTTCGTTATTTATTATTATTTATTTCATATTTCAACTTAATTAATACATAAGGGGGCCTCTAATGCGATTTCTTCACACTATCTCTGAACACTAAAGCCGCGCTACCAAGTCTTAGCTCCCAGTGCGGTAGACTATTACGATTGTTACGTGGCCGTAGCTTTAACGTGTTTATAGCTTACAAGATGCGGTCAGCCCATGTCTCTCTTTCCCAACTTCTTTCTGACCACCACTACATCACACGTATAGGTAACCTCATCTGAGCCACTGATCATTTTGCAAGAAAAAGTTGTAACAAAAATTTTCTTTTAAATACTCGTAAGCATTTTCGGAGAATAATTTGAGAAAGTTTTTAAAGAACTTAGAACCATAAATAGATCATTTGAGATTCGGAAGCTCGATGAATAACGGAACGAGGCTTTTATTTCAATTGCTCCAATAATGAGGTCTCTTTTATGAACCCGTTAAGCTGTGGAACCATAAGGATAAGGTCAACTTTGCGATGATTTGCTTTAATGTTGTGTAAATTGTTAGTTTTAATGTCATTCCCTCTCTGCAGAGTATGCTGGAAATCAGTACATGTCATGGCAGAAGTGAATTCGCCGTGGAAAGCTTGACGATCCTTTCCTTCGAAGTAATCATTCAAGTTGTAAAAGATTGGGAACAGCTGTTCGCTCAATTGCCAATTAATCGAACTGAAGTGAAATAATAAATTGGTAATGAAAAGAACATTCGGATGTTATTAGTATTGAGAATTCATTTTTGTCTCTTCGAACTGTGAAGCGATACATGGAGCTATAGGAATGTCATAAAGAATTTGTAATGAACAATGAAATGTTGTCGTTCGTGTCGTATAAGCAATGAAATCTTATTCAGCTTAGTAAACAAAGTGCTCTTGCGGTGCATTAAATTATAGGAGCATAACGATAAGTTCGCAATGAAAAGTATTGCGACAATTTGGTTGATTATTGTATTTGTGTAGAAACTTGTTTGCCATAGCCAATCCAAACCTCTGTGTATAGAGTAGTAGGAGAGTAATAGAAAAGTTTTGCAACATTTTTTCCTATTATTTTATGCGACCCGTGAATAATAAAAATCCTTTTTTTGCAAATGCGTACGTATGTACTAAGTCGTAGCGAAAAATACGTGCGAAATTTTCGGTTGATAAAGGATTACAGTGTGTTGTGTAACAAAATGAAATCATAAAGTCATACCGCAGCACATATATGTGATTGCTAGGCTAAGCATTTCATTAAATTGTTACACTTTCTAGTCCGCACGTTTAATGGCATGGTATGGTATACGCAAATTGACGCTACTACCGACAATTCTGCTTCATTTCTGAATTCTTGCTAAGCAGCACAATATCTTTCGTTATGCCCGCTCTTGCGAGAAAAGTGGTAACTCGAAAGCCTAGTAATCGCGCTATGATGATGACACTATACTTCAGAACTATAGAGAACTATTTATAACTAACATTAAGAAGATCCTGAGATGGACACAACCTTTATTATGCCGAACTAGTCAGAATCACTCTCCGAATGGAGTTAAAGTTGTGCGTCACTATGTCCGTCTGTCTGTGTTGTATTCTTGCGTTCAACCTATAGGTCGTAAATTTTTGTATGTTTTGATGTAATTTGGAAAGTAATGAATGCTATCGAAAATGTTTTCCATCAGATCACTTTTTCGCTGGGTCGATTGATAGGTCGATATTATCGATATGAAATGTATTAATTGAAGTGATGTAGGGTATTTAACAGGGTGGGCCCTGTCGTTTTTACTAGTTTTGTCAGACAAATGACTAAGTCCTTGAGACAACTTTGTAGTTATCCCATACGTATTATAAAAATGTGGCCCTTTCTCAAATTGGTTAAGAGGATTTCAAAAAATGTGGCTGTAAAAGTCTTTTATAAAAATTATTCTGCCCTCGTGAAAACTTAAGCAATCATTTGTGAAAAAATTCGTAGAACGTTTCCTTTTTTCGTTTCTGTAAGTATGTATAACAAAATATTTAAATGGACAAAAGTCTTTGTTTCAGGTGTGGCTTTGCTCCTTGGACAGCTTTTATTCACCTTTTTCGTGCCATATGTTCTGATCAAAAAAAAAAAAAAATTTTATGTTTTACAACACAGAGGTCAAATAACGAAAAAAGACACTTTAATGTTGCCGTAATAATTAAACGCCACCAAAATAAAATATGAAAAAAAAAAAATGTTAACGAGTTCGAAAATATAAATCAAAAGCATTTTAAACATTTTATTAATTTAACATGTAAACGTGGAAACGAAATTTAACAAGGCAAACAACTCAATAATAATTTGCACAAAAAAATGGAAAAAATAAGGCAGAAATGTAACGTTTCTTATAAAAATCGTTTGCTTTAGTTTAAGTTACTGCAAAACATGTGTTAAAAAATCTTATAAAAACATGATTAATAATGTTAAGAAAAAAAAGAGAAAAAAAAAAACAATTTTTTTTTTTTTTTTTTGAAAAACAGAAATAAATTCATTTCTTGGTGCAAATTCAAACGATGAATGAGGAGAAAATGAATGAATATGCATGGGGACGTACAGTGGTGAAAAGAGATGGAAAACATGTTTGACTAAAAAGCCAAGTATATATGTATATATATTAAAAACATGATCTAATTGACGTCTATATCAAATGATTTTCAAAAGAAATAATTATAAAAATGTTTAATTGCACATGATCTCGATTTTCAACGTCAACATCAACATCTAACAAATCGACTT